CATCGTCACTAGCGTGGCCGTTTTGTTGAGGTGCTTGTTGTTGTGGAGGCTGATCTTCGTCTGGCTGCTGTTCTTCGCCAGGCGTTGGGCTGCTTTGGGGCGAGGCGCGGTTGGAGATCCATTCGGCGATGGTCGTCTCTGGCCCGCCTTCGACTTGGATCTCGCCTGTGTCGTGGCCACGGCCGAGTATGGTACCGTGGTACTTAGCATCTTCGCCGGTTTTACTATGTTTCTTCTTCAAAGCTGTGAAGTCATTGTTAGCTGGGCTGTCTGGAAGCCATCTGTAGAGAACTAACCATTGAGATAATCCGTAGCATCCGTCTCGCCATCTCCGCTGCCGACCTCCATCATCTCCTTCATGCGCTGTCCTGCGAACCACGCTATAAACTCTTCAACTCCGCGCAAGTCCTCTTCGCCGCGCCACATCTCTTCGGTAGGTACGCGCTCTGGCATCAGCGCACCCGCGTCCTGAAGCGCCATCCGTATATCGGCGATTGTGAAGTCGGCACTGTCGCCTTGATTGTGCATCGCATGCTGGGCAGTAGTCTGGCAGAGAAGCGACAGGTATCGGGCGGCAAGATCGGTCAGGGAGTCGAGGACCGCGGGGCGCGTAGAATGGTATCCTGTCGAGCGTAGGATCTGGAGTATAGAGGGGCGGAGAAGCGCGTGAAAGAGAGACGGCGGCGTCGTCATATTTGACTGATGGTTGTTGTAGTTTCTATGTGTGAGAGTGAATTGGTGATCGGTTCACTGTGGCGCTCAGCTTGCGGTCGTCAAAAGAATGCGTTCGTAAGTTGATAAGTAACTGATTCGTCTTGATATCGATGTCGCGGGAGCAGAGCCGGGCCGTCATCGGTATTTAAGGCTATGGTTTCACAGCGCATATCCGAACAATGCGCCTTGAATCTGCACAAAATCTATCGAAGCTGTTTGCGCTGAGCTTCTCCAAAGGTTTGAAGTTGGCCCGTTTCGGGCAGGTGCAGATCAGAGCAGAGCTGCAAGAATGTAGGCGCGGCCTAACAATAAAAGAGTGGGGCTATTCTATGTAGGTAGCACAATAGGCGCACGACTTACACCAGTTAGATGCTACGATAGCAATGGGACAGTATAAAGGTAATTAAGAGAGACACAATACTACTTGATTTTTCTTAGTTTGTTTTTCTGGGGGAAATTCCCTAACTGCGCAGTGGTTATCATGGTATCCTTTTTATCATCTGGACAAAAAATAGCTTCATTCCTGACCATACAATTATCAGATGGGGCTGACTACCCAAACATATGATCAAGCTAACCTTGCGATTACGCTCTTGACAAGTTCATGGCCACATTAGGATCATGGTGAGTTTATGAATAAGCTTATGACCAAGCTTAGGATACGTGATACCATTGGTGACGGCCCTTGGTACTATGCACGCGACCATTATCCCAGAGAGCCACAAGATACCACGAACACAGGGGCCTTCTTCTGGCTACTGGAGAGCAAAACATCGATGGCATCCATATTTAATACAATTTCCCATCATATGATGCTACAACGTAATTTCAACCTGAACGCTTATCGAAGTGTTCTCTTCCCAAACACAGTCTCCTCCCTAATATAATATCCAAAATATCACTCTCAGCGATACATATGTATTTATACAGTCATCCCCTCAGTCTACTTCTCAAGCTTGGCCCCATCTTCTGCGATGCCACTGTACTTGTTGATCCAATTCAAGACCTCCCTATGCCAAACGAGCGAATTCTCCGGCTTCAGCACCCACTACATCGATAATCAGCAAGTAAGATAAACCAATCGTTTTACCACTTACATGATTCTCATCGGGGAACATGACAAGCTTGCTAGGGACTTCACGAGCCTGCAAGACATTGAACATGGCCAATCCTTCTGAGATGGGCAGTCGGTAGTCGAGTTCGTTATGAATGACCTAGATAGATGTGAGCATGTTTCGTGTCACCGCCTGATAACATGCTTACCAGCTGAGGGGTGGACCAGTTGCCAGTATGCAGAGACGGATCCCACTTCTCATATCCAGCACGGTTCTCCCACAGTGTTCCACCGAAATCGTGCTCTGGGAAGAAGAGCTCTTCAGTCGACCATTGATTTTGCGTTGAGAACACGCCATCATGGCACACTAAAGCCTTGAACTTGCGGCCCAAATCATGGCCTTGAATCCAATCTGTCCTTATGTCAGTATGGCTCCAGCAACTACTCCCCAAGAGCGTTTGGGCTCACTAATCATGTATCCACCGTATGACGCTCCCAGAGCAACAGCTCGATCAGTATCAACATAATCAACATGGTTCTTGAGATACTCGAAGCACTTCACCAGATCTTCATATGGGGCACCTCCCCAGTGGTTGGCAATCGCATCAACATGAGCTTGCCCATATCCAGTACTGCCGGTCGGGTTGGGGCACACAGCTATATAGCCCTGCTCGGCGAAGATGGCCGGATTCCAACGAGTACTCCAATCATCTGTCCATGCTGATTGAGGACCGCCATGTATCAGGAATGCCAAAGGATACTTCTTGCTCTTATCGAAGTGGGAAGGCAGCATGACAAGAGCGTGATTGTCATAGCCAGCCGACCCGGGGTACCATATCTCGGTCGCTTGAGACTTGGAGAGACCAAACGTCTTACCATTTTTGGAACTGGTGGAGATCACTGTGACAGCCTTGGTCTCCGGATCCAGAACTCCGTAGCTCGAGCTCTCGATTCGCGACTTGGATGTAATGAAAAGAGAGTCACTGCCTTCCAAAGTGTGGGCCTCAACCACAGACCCTTCTTTGTGAATGGCCTCGGGAAGGTCGCGAGCTTTCAGAGTGTCGGCTGGTAGCTTCCAAAGCATTGATCTCCCATGTTTCTCAGCCGCAACATACAGCTCAGTATCATCTTTTTTCCAAACTACCCAATCAGGCCTCAAATCCCAACCGCCCTCATCATCGTCTGTCTGGTAAAACTCTTGAACGTTACTCAAGTCGTCAACATTGGGGATCAACAACAGTCTTGTCTTATCAGACTCATACTGCTGGTGCTTCATTCTAGTAAATGTCAACTTCTTTCCGTCATTGGAGAAAGCTGGGGCGCTGCTATAGCCGCGCAGTCGTCCGGTCTTGACGATCTGGGGCTGAGGAGGCTTGTCTGTCCAAGACTTGATGGGTACGTAGTACAGATCTGTCTTGGTGTTTCTCGCCGGGTTCAACTCTGGATCCTTGGCGACGAAGGCGATACCATTCTCCGAGATGTCAAAGTCCCCAGCTCCGCCAAAAGGAGGGACGGGTGAGCTCAGTTGAGTACCAGCCAAGAGGTTTGTAAGACCATCCTTCTCAAACACCCATCTACCATTTTTCTTGGTAATCACGCCGTACCAAAGCGAGTTCTGGTTTTCGGTGTTCCAAGTATCCCAATGGCGAACGAAAAGGCCAGTATATATCTTGGCAGTTGTATATGTCTTGGGCTCTGTCGCCTGCCAATACATGTTGCCTTTGGGAGTAGTCACTGCGGAACAAATGAACGCAACCTTGCCATCAGACAGTGCTTTTGCCTTTGGGTTAGAAATGCTGCCTGCAAAAGATTTAATCAAGCGTGCCCTGTTATATATGTTAGCTCCCAGAAGACGTCATGTTGCCTTGATATATACTCACTCGGAACCATCCAAGACATGCTGCTGGTAGAGAGATGAACAGCCATTATCATTTGTTCTAATCAATGCAATCTCTTTCTCTCCAATCCAAATAGGATCGCTAACATGAGCGTCCTCGGAGACGAGATGAGAAGAGTCATCTTTGATATTAAGAACACGGATCTGGAACGACTTGGAGTGGCTTTCAAATGAGTACGACGAGATCTGAACATGTTAGCATTAGTTTGGCACTACCAATTGAAGGCATTGCCAAGCTCTAACTCACCGTATAGAGGACGAGCTCTCCAGTGGAGTTTGGGACTCCAGTTGAACGACGCGGGGCCGAAATCAGCACCTCGGGTGTGAACCGCGTGGCCTGTCTCGTCATCATGGAGACAGAGAGGGAGATAGTCCGATTGATAGTAATTGGAGGTGATAGGGAAGCAATGAAGGAAAGAACTCTTCGGGTATTGAAAAGAGGAGAATCAAGAACCTCTGTGTCCAGTTGAGACACTCATCATATAACCAGCCCAGGTACTTTGTAGAACACACATGAGGGCTAGTGCCATCCATGGGTTCCCCCTCACGACTCCTCATTCTCATGACCAGCCGCCCGCTCGGCCCCTCTCTTCCGGTAAATCCACTGCTCATGCTACCTTCCTTATCATTAGTGCTACCTTTACCTTCAGAATCGGAAGTTCATAACAATCCATACTGCCTTACAATTTTTTTAGTTTTTTTACAGTAACATACATGCATCTCTAGAAGTCGAAGGGTTTATCAAGCTAACCTCACTACAACCACTGCAATTAACCATAACCGTATCTGACTGACCCCGCTTCAATCTCGTCCATGTTGACGTGGAATAGCTTATAATGGTTCCAAGATATGACGCATGACCTTAACATATGTGACGATAATCGGGAGACCATGCACTGGAGATAACTTCAATCCTGAGCCAATTCCTAGTAACGGGAGAACCAGTGTGAGTTTTATGCGTGATCTGACACCAAGCAATTGGATCCTCACTTACCTAGAGGATGGCAGAAAGCCTGATGTTTAATCCTACGTAATAAAAATATTTAGATAGGTAATTTAAGGATATTTTAGGATACTCGGAGATAAACTTAGTTGGCTCTTTGACTCAAAGTCCTGAGTTTTCTGATATCTCGAAGGGTCCAAAATGGCTAATAACCTTATAAATGACATCTTCTCGTACTACTTCTAACAGGGACCTACCATAGCCTGTCCCAAGCCACCTTCTGCTTCAGGGGCAATCTATCATATCAATCCTAACGCCATCCTTACCCTACCATTAAATCCATTCCCTATTAAACGCCCAACCTCATGAGTAAGTACATCTTTATAAATACGCTACTTGCGCTGCGCTCCAAAATTCGTTCTTTTCTTGCTCGTCGAAGTATCGTTTTCGCTGTCCTCGTGCTCAACCGTTTTCTTCTTCGACTTGCTTGCGTTCTTAACCGCAGTCACAGATGTCGGTGTCGGGTGATTCGAGGGTCCATCTCTAAATGCGGCGGATAATGGTGTCGCGCCAGCTGGCGTCGAGCCTCCTGACCCGGGTGTGATACCCTCCTGCGAAAAGCATGATTAGCATAGCGCGTGTAATCCTGTAACTGATATTCATCCATACCAGATTGTTCGGTCGGTACGAGATCGACGATCGCGAAAAGACTCTGTTCTGTTCCATCGGGCCAGCCTTTCGTCGCTGCGCTGCCGCGCCACTCATGCCCTTCATGTAGTTGTCGAAACCGGTGATGATGTTGCCGCTTGGTGTGCTGTCGAGGTATGCAGTCTCCTTCTGGGAGATGCTGTCTTCAACTTGTGTCTATGAAAATCTCAGCCCAATTTCAATACAATTTACACTCAATGGCATATGCGCACCAAGCGTTTCTCTAGCATTCTGCGCTTTTCAACCAAATCCCGAACCCGGGCTTGCGCTTTCTTGTACTCGGACATCGTCACTTGTCCAGTACCAGCTGCAGCTCCGTTTGATTGCTTCCTCTCAGCCATGCACGTTGTCGTCTCGATGGATCGGCGTTATTGTGATTCAATAGTCGATAGATGTCCACATCAGATGAGATGATGAATGGTCGCGTTTGATCAACAAGAATCCAAGTTAGGTTGCGATTGGATAAAGCGGGGCCCTTGGAAGGAAGCGCGGGGAGCCGCGTTAGACGCTTATGTGTCTCGGTTAAATCAAGGTTTTGGAGAATACCAGGCTGCACAACAACGACCATGAACAAGAAACTGAAGCAAAAATGAAGTCCTGCGTATCGCAGGTGGCTGGAACTCTCCCGCCGGGAATTGAACCCGGGTCTCAAGCGTGACAAGCTTGCATACTGACCACTATACTACGGAAGATCGCCAGGTTGAACCTGGTGTAGTGAGTTCTGTGGTGGTGGAGCTCGATACCCAGGTTATATCTCTGAGATGGGATTCGGAAGGGTCCCGCTCTCCTGTTTGCAGTATCGTTACAGTCCGAACGCCTTCACGTGCTGATCATAGGTGCCGGATCTTGATAGAAGCATCAATTTGATAGTTATGTGTGTTCTTGATCCTCTCATTATCCTACAAAGAAAGGTTTTCTATACGCCCCTGCTTTCCAACGCCGTAAAGTCAGTAATTGCAAATTATTGTTATGCAAATGGCTCAAAAAGGGCTTCAAGAAATTGTTAGCTTCGATTTCCCCAAAAGAAGACGACCTCGATAATTCTCATCCTCTCCTTCATGGCGCAAGCGTTGCAAGGAGCAAGGTCAAATCTTAGTGAACAAAGCAAGTCAGTGGCTGTGCCGATTCAGGATACTATGGCCAACTGACCTCAGATACTTCATTTGGCCGTTACCTCTGCCTCGGGCTTGGTCGGCGGGGCACGAGATTCATCTTCAAAAACATCAGCTGACTTTTCTCGAAGCCTTGATCGCGAAGAAGCTGAAGAACTATTTCGCCGTCTGCCCTTAGGCGAATCTCTCTTCCTAGAGGGCTGCTGGCCACCACGTCCATGATTCGGCCGTCTTTTGGTCCTGCGGTCCGGTGACGCGCTGCTGGAACGGCTGCGACTGCGACTATAACTGCGACTTCGACTTCTACTATGAGAGTCTGATGTTCGTTCGGGTCGCGATGAAGAGATGCTTCTAGCCGGGCGCCTGCGACGAGTTACAGAACGACTCCTTGATGAAGAGTAACGTCTGCGCTTTGGTGCGGGAGAATTTCGTTCCGAAGACAAAGATCGAGATAGACGAGCTGGCCGATCTCTCTCAGTACGTTTGTTTGCCCGACCCCGGTATGTATCTCCTCTGGGTGATCGCGATCTCTTGCGTCTGTCAGCTTGCCCCCCAGGAGACGCAGGCCTTCGTCGTTGGTTCGATTGTTCAGTACTTCGGGAGGCGCTACGACTCCTTGAGCTCGGCCTGGACGAGGCCGATTCCGAACGTGATCGAGGAGGTGATTTTCGTCGGCCTTGGTCAGCGCGTCCACCACCACGTCTTCCTCGTGGAACGTAACTATCACGCCCATATGATTCCCTAGTATCACGGGAGCGAGGGCCGGGCGATCTTGATCGGCGACCTCCCCTTCTAAAGCCCCCTCTACCCCGGTTTTCAAAATCACGGTCACCTCGGCGCCCTTGCCAGGTATCTCCACGAGCAGCAGCCCGGTCGCGGCGGTCGCGGTCTTTCAGGTCGGCTACTTCGCGGTCACGGCGATCCCAGTCGTCTCGTCTCTGTTTAGCAGTTTCTGCGGCGCGGTCTGCCTCGATCTGGATAAAATGGTCAGATATGGAACTGCACAGGATTAGGGGTTGGCATACCTTCTCTTGAATAAGCTCCAGCTTCTTGGCCTCAAGGAGCTCCTTGGGGACGCCTTGGGGACTGCTTTGGGCACTCAGCAATAATTTCCACAGGTCTTTGCAGAACACAGCCGTGTCCTTGTCAAGAAAACCCGTCAGTTGTATTTGAAGTGACTTGATATCTGGCTATTGTACCTATCAGCATTCTGGACTAGTCAGGGGCCGGTGAACATACGTATCGCGGTCCTTCGATGAGATTGAAGACAAGTTCAATGACCACGTCATCTTCGCTACCCAGGATATCGGAAATTTTGCTGGCGATCCATCTGAAGGGAGGAGTTAGCACGTTGTAACACGAGGCTGGCAATCAGATCACTCACTTCTTCATGACTTGCAAATTAACCTTTTGCATATCAACCTTCTGGCTAAACTCGGGGGGGAATCTGGTCGACTTCAAGAGTCGCGCATCTACCCCAGTGGCCATATTGGAGAAGTCGCAATGGCAATCTAATATCGTAGTATCTAGAGACGCGTTGTTGAGAAAAAGTTGCTAGGGAAGAAAAGTGACGTCGCCAGCACAAGCTCAGAGTCTCATGCAGAATCCGGGTGGTGCATGTGCACGGACCATTTTTTTTATATTGAGCGCTCCAACTGTCTCACTGTCACACGCACACCACCAAACAGGTCCCCCGGACTTCTTTTGTTATGGGGAGGATGTGCACTGAAGAGTCCTGAAAGCTCCGTCTAAGCGGCGTCACCCATCGCAGCCTGGGACAAAGACGTCTTCACATTCAACCTTTTTTGCCGACAACATTTGAAGCTCCCCATCTCAAAAAAAACCCTCATTTGTCTGTGTCTCCGTTCCAACAATGGAAAATCTACACGCACCGACTGTGCCCTCAGGGGAAACGACTGCTCCTGTCACAAATGGTGATGCGGGGCATCTAAGCTTTGCAGAGTTGCAACGAAAGAAGGACGATATTGAGGCCGAACTCAAGGCTTTAGGAGGGGTGCTTGATTCGGTATTTGCGAACTTTACAAAATAACGTGTACAATTCTCTAACACAATTATAGCATGGTGTTGATATGAACACTTCTCTCCTGACAAATGATGGCTTTCCTCGAGCGGACATTGATGTTGCTCAAAGTACTTCACGATATTCAGGTTAAAGATTCGACCACTAACAGCGTGACAGTCCGGACTACACGAGCTCGTATCATTCGACTGCGGAATGATTATACCTCTCTCATGACATGGATAGAGAAATTCCTCCATGAGCATTTTGCGAGTCTTGATGAGAATGAACCTGCGCCAGTTGCAAGCTCGAGTAACTCACAACGCATCTTGCCAGACTCAGTTTCTACACCTCTAGACCTCCCTTTTGCCAAGGTAAACACCGTAGCTGCAGGAAGTCCAGCAGAAACTGCTGGCCTGAAGCCGGGAGACGAAATTCGGAACTTTGGTTATGTCAACCAAGCCAATCACGACAACCTCAGGAAGGTGGCCGAGTGTGTCCAGGGTAACGAAGGGGTGAGTGTGGTTCCGATACTGTCCACGACAGCCGCCAGTTAATAATGCATTAGAACAACGTTTTCATCAAAGTGTCGAGGCCAGATGGTGTGGCCGAGCGGCAAGAGCTGCGACTGACCTTGACTCCAAGAAAGGACTGGGGTGGGCGAGGATTATTGGGCTGCCACATCTTGCCTCTATAAGTCGAGTAGTCGCGGAAGTCATGATAAACTAGAGAGCCTATGTCCAATTACTCCAGACGAAGTAAATGATCAGTTTCACTGATCATTAGATAATTTATCCACCAGGGGACCTGTGTTTCATCGGCCCATATCCGGTTACTGATGTGCTTTACATTTAACATTTAATGACCCTTCAGTATCAGGCGCTAGATTATCAGTCGACTGGAATCAGAGGATGCCTAGCTTGGTAAGACAGGGAGGCAGGCATAAGTTGAGATATAATGTAACTGTTGAAGGCAACCTCACTGTTCACCTATGCTACAAGTATATCGTCATTTAACAATATGTCAATAAAAGTACTTTATAAGATACATATTCATTGGTGCCAACATAGAAGCAATGACAAAGCATGATTGTTAGTCTAGAAAACAGTTAAGACATGTGCTGGGCACTCTCATGAAATCCGTATATGGCCTCATGATAAGAGATGGCCAACAGATACATGGAAAGTTGCTTGTCAGATGACGAAAAGGTTCTTTAATCACAGCCTGAGTATTGATCAAGCAAAAAGCTAGCAGAAAGAGCAAAAACGACCAATACAAGCTCGTGATACTCAGCACGAATTGGTACCTAAAGATGCCTAGAGTGCGCCTGGAAATGCTGACTAAAGCGTATTTGATGCAAAGAATAGCCAGCCTGCCAGCTCACCCGATCCATGATATCGGAGTGCAAGCATGGATCAAGGCCTGACTGACAAGCATTTGGATCACCTCAAAGAAAAATGACGAACAAGCAAGGCACCACTAGGCAGGCCAGCACGGATCGGGCCAGCGAACAAGAAGACGTAGAAAACCAAATCGGTTGGGCAGTGCCCAATAACAACACAGAATTCTTCCAAGGCGGTGACGGTGATGGCTGGTAATGGAAGCCATAAGGTGGATCACTCGCAGCAGGCTGGAGGCACTGAATGGGCGGGTGTCACGTGCAGCCTATCCACTCCAAGGTAGGTAGGGGCGACTGAATTTTTCGCTTGAGGTCCTTCCCTGCCCAAAGTCCCCCGCCGCCTTCAACATCAGGTCGACCTTGAAAGTTTGTCAATCAATCTTGGGTATACCCACATTGTCAACAACGGTTTTTCAGGTATTTAGGATCCCTTCCCTCAGCATCGCTTCGCACCGACGTCCATCTCATTCCCTACCCATTCGATCGACCCTCTTACGCTGTTGCCGACCGCCCAACAGAAGCTAACTCACGCCTCTCAGCACCCCGCTTGTTTACATCCCTCGCATCTGTCGCTACAACACCACAGACACAACCATCAAGATGGCTGAGCAGCAGACTCCTACCTTCAAGCTCGTGCTTGTCGGTGACGGTGGTACCGGAAAGGTGTGTAGGATCCTATGACGCAATATTTCTTTCGCGATGTTATCAACGACCATCGAGCCTTACTCCACCAAGTCGAATCTCGAAAAATATGAAGCGATCCCCTTCACGCATCAACGTCGACTAACCATCATGTGCGATAGACCACCTTCGTCAAGCGTCACTTGACTGGTGAATTCGAGAAGAAGTACATGGCCACCCTCGGTGTCGAGGTTCACCCTCTTGGCTTCACCACCGTAAGTCTCGCGACCCCACGTTGATCTATGCGGGGCACTAATCCATCACAGAACTTCGGTCAGATTCAGTTCGATGTCTGGGATACCGCCGGTCAGGAGAAGTTTGGTGGTCTCCGTGATGGTTACTACATCAACGGCCAGTGCGGTATCATCATGTTCGATGTTACCTCCCGCATTACTTACAAGAACGTCCCCAACTGGCACCGTGAGTCCACCGCCGCCCATGATATCATCAAACCCGCAATTAACAATCATTCCAGGTGATCTTGTCCGAGTTTGCGAGAACATCCCCATCGTTCTCTGCGGTAACAAGGTCGATGTGAAGGAGCGCAAGGTCAAGGCCAAGACCATCACTTTCCACCGCAAGAAGAACCTCCAGTACTACGACATCTCTGCCAAGTCCAACTACAACTTCGAGAAGCCTTTCCTCTGGCTCGCCCGCAAGCTTGTCGGAAACCCTCAGCTTGTAAGATCATATCTCACGATTTCTGACAATTGAATCCACCTGCTAATCAGATACGATAGGAGTTCGTTGCTGCTCCCGCTCTGGCTCCCCCCACTGCCCAGGTCGATGAGAAGCTCCTGGAGGAGTACCGCAAGGAGATGGACGAGGCCGCCGCCATGCCTCTGCCTGGTGAGCTTTCCGACGACGATCTGTAAATGACTCGTGTGGTTACGGAATACTTTTGTTGAGGAGGATGCTGCCAAACATCCAAGGAACGATGCATGGGCAGTATTTGAGGATGGCACATAGGCAGCCGAAACGACCATTTATGAGATACAGGACGAAAGTCCTGGAGTTTACAGTAGCGTGATTATGGGGCGGCACAAAAGACAGGCCGTCATGCCTTTCTTTGGGGCTCAAGGGACGGTACCACTGCAAAGAGCAGTGTCTTATTTAGTTTAGCTAGACTTCCTCCACCAAAAACAACGAACAGGGCCAAGTTTGCGTGGCTTGGCTAAGACAATGAACATTGGCCCTTTGATGGAATTCACCGTGCTATTGTGCATAAAGTGATTACAGAGAGATGCAAGACATAGTTCAAAGCGGAGGATCAGTTCCGAGCAATTCATCGTGAAGGGCGGGCTTGAGGGTACTTAAATTGAAGTCTAGGTACTACCAACACCGACACTCATGTGACGATGAGGTTAGTATACATACAGATGTGTGACCTCAGTTGTCGGAATTGTTAACCTACAACTCTTCGTTTGTACGGGGGCCGCTGTGTTACTCAGCCTTCCTCATCATACTAATCTGGTACTGGGGTAACCAACTTATGGGAGCTCAATTACCATCCTTGATTTGACAATTCCTACTGGCTTAACCTGCCGGCCTCTGGCCGTAGAATCTCGCAGTAACCTTTAGCGAAACGTGGGCAGAATTATACACTGCTCGATGATTTAAGTAAACGTTCCCGAGCCTCGGAATCCTTAACATGAGAATTCCTTGTGCTCGTAGTGAGTCCGAAAGAGGGATGGACTTTCATTATCGAGCCATAATTTATTCTGAAATACAACAAGAGACGTCATGCCAAGGACAATATTCGTTGCCCAACTTGAGAAGATCCCACCAAACATTGTTGCCTCTTGTGGGGATATTTCCTCGAATATGCTCAGAGAGCTGAGCTTAATAGTCGGTACCTAAGGATCACGACACAATGGATAGGTACCCTATTTCTTTTCTACAACGAATGAACAAGCCTAATGTTTCTTGAATGCTCTATGTGGAGATGTAATCAATTCGCCGTCGACATCGGCACATAGGGAACGTGAAATTTCGTGGTATAAGTAAGGTAGCACAGAAGTAGATCTGAATGAACTGGCCAATGACACCAAGGCAACTCTCTGCGAATGCTGATTCGTGAGATCAGATTGATAACACAATAAACGCCGGTAGAACTCTAACTCAAAAGGACCTTACTAGTCGGCCGTTAAAATCGTGACATAGCTCGTGGAATAAAATGTAATAATAGAGAGAGAACCTTGATGAATGTGTGATTCAAGTCTTGCAATACTTATGTGATACTAACTTGAACCCTCGATGCAAAGGAGGAATCTAAATCCAAGACCAAGTTGAAATTCGTACGACATCCTTGCAAGCTTTCCAAAGCGCGTCTCAATACTGGCATATATATGCTCAGCTGTTGTGTTTTTTTTGTTGATGCAGGCCTGGATGTGAGACGCGTTTAGAGGACCCATCAAAACAATACAAAACATTGGAGCCGTGAATGGATCCATAGCTCTAGTTCCTGGCCGTTATACGAGAGACTGGGCGTGGAAGCGAAGTAATCGATATCACAAAAAAGGGTGACTTTGAAGATCTCCAATTTCGATAATCGATGATGGAACGCGGGTGATTTAAGAGGTTATATCATGAGCAGCAATTGCAAGGATCCAGCTGATGGAAGAATGAGCTTGAGATTAAGCTTGGCAGTGTGTTTGTTTATTTAGGTTAAGTTCCTATTTAAAAAGGATGGATGGCGGGCATGACACCCCTGCGTGCTGGCGCATGCAGCCACTTAATGAAACAGGGGTGTCAATTGACCACGAGATGGTCCCCAGGATCGCTAATACCACTTGTTAATTGACTACGTGGGGCAGGATGATGGTAACTGAGAAACAAGGGAATGGAGAAAGATTGATGAGACTATGTTGTTTTGTCTCTTTTACGTCGGCCACAAGACGACTCAAATGCAATCGGAAACATTTATCCAACTGATGTTCAAATGCATCCGCATGCATAATCTATGCAACGGGATGACTAGCTGCATATCAGTCAGTGAAAGGTTGTTGAAAAAAAAAGAAGAAAAAACCCCCCCCAAGACCGAACTTGCTTGCATTGCTTATATGTTCTACCCTTCTCTTCGAACAGGACAAAAAAAATAAAAATAGTTATGCCTAGCAATTCACGCGTTGTGATTGCCCTATGGCGCGCGTTTTTTTATGTTGTTGCGGGGTGGTGCAAAAGGAAAGGGGAAAACAGTGCTTCGCATCCAGACTACCTAGGTACGTAAGGGGACGAGTCAGATTTTCTCGTATCTGGCCGATAAACATTCATGTATATGGAATAAGACATTTTATATGAAAAGCTTAAATAATCAAGACACGGTGAGACACGCTCATGATATACCGCGTTTTTCGAAAACTGGGCTATCAAAAAAGACAAGGCAGGAAAGCTAATCTCAAAGAACGTAATGTAGATCTAAAAAGGTCGGTAGGGGAGGTTGGTTTTGTTATTGCTGGGGTTTTCATCCATGTATGGTGCAGGTGGCCGCCAGCTGTTAGCATCTCAGGTGCCACACGCGGATGGATAGATACGTAAATACATGAAAACTGACAGGGGTGCGCGTTTACTATACAAGGTTTACGCGGAGGCACAAGCGCCAAAAGCCTCCAAGACAAATGGGGATTGTCAAGGTTTCCTTACACAGTACAGAGGGGACTCCACCCAAGGGCCTAGGTACGAAGGGACGACTTTCATCCTAGGCGGGCCGCCTCGTTTTAGAAGCACGTCTGCCAACATCAAGACAACCTCGTTTTTCCCTCTTTCTCTTCTTCACTCGTCATCTTCATCATTATCTCAGAAAGCTTCCAAACCATCAGCTTTGACTTCGCTCCCATCCTGCAAGCTTGACTCTGAATTAATATCTCCCGATTGTGTTTGATTCTTCTCCAGAACACGACTCAGGCGTCTTTGACCAGGCAGTAATGCGTCTGAATCTTCAATAAGGCCATCTCCATCACCCTCCTCTCTCCCGCAATCATGGCCGACCCTACCGAATCCCCTTCTTTCGCCGCTACGCCCGACAAACACGCTCCCCCGGCCCCGCGTTTTCATGACATCGCTGTCACGCCCCAGAGTCTCCCTCCTCTCGCCGATGCGTCAACCAATTCAGCCGTGTCTACAACTGATTCGGAGAAGCATCCTAAGGGAAAAAGGAAAAGAACAACGTATGTTGATCTACCTCAAATTTCAATTCTGGCTGCATCGATGTATTGGTAGGATTGAGCTAATTTCGAATCGATGGCGTTGTGCAGGGCGAAAGACAAAATGGTTCTGGAAGAGGCGTACAGTAGTAACCCTAAACCCGACAAACAAGCGCGCCTGGACATTGTTCAGCGCGTGTCTTTAAGTGAGAAGGAAGTCCAGGTATGGCATTGACAACGTTGTATTTGATATTAGATCTTGACTTTGACATGGCGACCTACGACGCGTTTTCTCATGGGATTTGAAAACACCAAACTAACATCATCTCCTCCAGATCTGGTTTCAAAATCGAAGGCAGAATGACCGCAGGAAATCTCGCCCTTTGTCACCGGGAGAAGTTGCCGCTCTCCATCATGGAATCATGCATCCTTCAACTTTCGACCCAATTATACACACTACAACTCCAAGCAAACCCGAACGTCCATTTCCAGTCTCCGAGCGTACTATATCTCGGTTTGGAGAACCCATCTCTGTGCCCCCTCGACATTTTGACCGGACACCTTCCATGCCACGATATCATTCAGATCTTGTGAATAGCACTCCAATCACCCTTGGTCATGACAGTTTTCGCTACTATTCCGACGCTACTCCCAACCGCACCGACCCTGCTCTCCCACACGAAGCTCGAGATGTGTCCCATTCTTTGTCAAGCTCCATATCTAGTAATGTTGGCTACCTGTCCAACCGGTGGAATGCCGGGGCCAATTCCTTCTCTACGCCAGCTGCTTTTACCCGCAGCGGTGACGATTCATTCAGGTATGCCGCATACGATTATACTCGATGTGACTTCACTAATCAAAGTAGACTTGATACATTCCCTCCGTCATGCGCTTCTGATCGTGTCATTGCCACCCCTCTCTCCCAAAGCCAGCCCAAGGTTCACCTTTCTACATCCTTAGACGGAAAGGCAGAGTTAGTCTCAAACCAAGGCTCTCCTTCACGTGAAATGCCCCCTCGACCGTCCTCCACAACGCCATACTTGCCTGAAGAGCGACAGCGTGGTCTACAACGAGGATTACAACGTAGTAGCAGCGCTGTTACTCTCCCTCCCTTGTCGGAACTCACTAGCAGTTTGCCTCCTAATCTTGTGCGAGGTCGGTCTCGTGATGTGCATGCCTGGGAAAAATGTGCGGACGCTGAGAACCGTGATGAGCTGACAGCGCAGGCCGAGTACGAGTCGAACGGATCGGCGGCTGCAGCTATCAACATTCTTCGTTCCACGAGCGGGATTCTCCAACCAAGCAACGCTAAACGCAACGCTCCCATGACGAGGCCCCAACGACCTCATCAGGCAAAGAAGGTTAAGCTGGATCCTACTGGGTCAAGTATTTCACGACTCGACGCGGACTTGGACGAAAGGGAAAAAGCTGACAGGGAGCATGGCAAGGTGAAGGTTTCAATGTTGGTCTCTCCGACAGGTGGTGACTCGGATAAGGAGAACTTGACCCCTGACGAGGAGACCAGTTCGCCGGATCCTGATCACCGTCGACCTCTGCCGCCTGCCCCCAAACATGTTGGCGACAACCCTCGACGAGTTGGCCGAGCCCTTCAGGAGCAAAAGAGCCCAAACCTGCTCGCAAACCGCGCAAACATGGCGCCCACGCGCCCACGTTCCATCGTCAAAGAAGGATTGGAGATTTTCCAGGATAGGATGAAACCAGTTCTGTCTTCCAGGGAACAAGACATGGTTCGAGGTTCAATCAGTCCTAGTAAAAAGCCCGATATGGACTGCGTGGCAGGTCTTCTTTCTCTCAGCCAAGGAGCTTGGAGGTAAAGGAAGGATAAAAGGAAAAGCTATATCTGTAGATCTTGGGGAATGGAACACGGGGAAACAGCGAAATGACTTTTATACTGCCTATGTTGTCTATTGTGGTTTCCTCTTCAGCGGTAGATAAGGAAGCACTTTCTTGCATGGCTCACACGAGTCTGGTTCTCGATGCTTACAGCTGTACGATGTTCGGTAAAGTCCTGATTCAGTAGCGACACGGGTTTTTGGGTTTGGGTTTGGGTTCGGCGCCTGGAATTTGTGCTTGTAAATATCTTCGCATTCACATACCGTTACTTGATGTGATGGAGGGCGGAGCCAGTAACTTGGCTTCCTGGATGGAAGAAGAATTAACAATAAGAGACTGTCTCGCAAGATCATCAACAAAAGACTTAGTGTACCACTTGAAATGGAATGTTCAATGATGGCCAACATGGAATAATACAGCGATAGTACTTGGGCACAACCCGACGCAACAGAAGAAAATGGCGGGGGCCAGCCATTGTTAACCTGAAGAATGTAAGTAAAGCAGACTTAGTAGAATTGACACAAGAAGTTAAACTTACACAATAAATCTATAAGTAACACTCTTATACAAAGTTATCATTAACCTCTTAAACACTCTAGAAAATCCAGCTATTTCTTCTATCACTCTTCGAGGCACCATAGAAGTCCGTATCACGCCAGTCATAAAATATCATTCTTTTGTTGCTTCGAAGTTGAGGAGCCACTAGATGGTGAGCTTTCAAGAGGTTACGATTATCACTTGGCGGGCATGCTGCTCTTGGGTTGTGTGGCCACATATCGTGTGTATTGTCTTGACGAGACCGTAATCTGTCTTACATCTAAATGTCTAAATATTTCCCGCTATAATTCCAAAACCGCACTTTGCCATTCCGCTTGTATCAAAATGAAGAAAAACTGATCTATCATCATATCCAGGTAATCTGAAAAGACAGACAATAATTATAACGCCACCAACACCATGCCTAAAACCAGCTCCTATCCAATGCCGCTGATGCCATGGACTTCCTCACATACCCAGAAGGCTCATCTGTCGACGGATGGGGCTGGCACTAACACTCCCATCTTCACTTGCGTAGCATGCGCTGTCGGTGTCAATGTCCCAACCGATATCATCGTCGTCGTTGCAATTATCTCCTGTGTCGGCATCGAAAGGCTTCTGAGCGGAAGCTCTAACGTTCCAGCGAAGAGTACGGCTCACGCTGTCAAACCACTCTGTATCGGTGCGTGTCACGGTAGGGAAGGGGTACTGAGAGGCTGTGATTGTGACGTGGTCACCTTGTCGAAGCTCGAGCCGACCCTTGCCATCAAAAGCGCAATAGGCAGTGGCTCGCGAATTGCGAGGAACAACAACTCGGAGAGCCATGGTATCAGAAAGAACCATGGGTCGGAATGATAGGGTATGAGGGCAGATGGGTGTAAGAAGGATGGCGGGAATATCAGGGTGAACAAGTGCGCCACCGGCAGATAGAGAATATGCTGTAGAGCCAGTTGGGGTGGAGAAGATGCAACCATCGGCTTGTACCACAGTGAGGAGTTCATCATCACCATACAGCTCCAGGTTGGACACATAGGGGGAAGGACCACGATCGATGACGAGTTCGTTAAGAACTTCGAATTGCTCCGGTTCCTCGAGCTTGGGTGCGTCCAAAGCACCAGCTCCACGATTGCTGCGGTGAACAGTACACGTGAAGCGCATGCGGAGGTTAATCTTCATACCATCATCGCCCATGACTCTGTTGAGATGTTCTTTGTACTTCTCAAACTCAAATGTCGTCATGAAACCTAGACTTCCAAGACTGAATGAGAGCACAGGAGGTACGATGCGCTGGAAGAGCCATGAGGTGAAGAGGACGGTACCATCGCCGCCAAGAGTCAAGACAAGATCGAACTTCTCAGGTTGACTCCAGCACAGATCAGGTGTCCAGTACTTGAGCATGTGCTGGAAGCGGGGGTTCTCGGCAAGGAGACCAGATGAGTCGAAACGTCGTGAGTTTCGAAGCTTAGCATCGACGTAGACATTCACGCCGAGGTCGGAGCCATAGCGTGGAGTTCGCAGAAGCCACCCGGCAAGCTCGCGAGTAAGGTAGACGAGCTGATTGTCGCGTGCTTTGGTGACAATCATGATGTTGCGAACTGCGCGCTTGATAGGACGGCGCTGAAGCTGCTTGGAAACTTCTCGAACACCAGTTGCAGTCGCGACAAGACGCGAATGTGACATGGAAACATCATTCTTGATTTCCTCGAGAACCTTGCCGATGTCGACAGCATCAGCGAATCGCTGGTGGTAAAAGCATGGCGACTGCAAAGTTGAGGCGAGAACGGTAGCGGCCATATCAGATGAAGTTGTGTCATTGCTGGAGGTGGAGGTGTAAGTCCGGGCAGTGTTGGGCGTGTTAACGGCGCCTGTGGTCAAGCGAGACTTGGCGAGGTCATTGAGGGCATCAGTTAGGCTTTGCGAAGGCGTGGCAGCAGTAGAGTTTTTGGACACACTCGTGAAGCCAGGTAGAGGGCCAGCCGAAGAGGCTGATTGAGGATTAGACTCTGAAGGTTCTGTCTCGCGAAGAGAAGGCATGTTTGTGTGTGGGAGTGCGAGTGACAAAGCGTCGGGTTTGTTGTGTCGGATCACCGAAGCCAAAGCCCTCGGGCCAGAATTAGACCGAAGTGCGCCTTTCTGAGCTGAACAAGACGAAGCTGGGTGATCTGGGGTTGACGAGGGCAATGGTGAAGTGGAAGATTGTAAAGAGGGCGAGCTTGATGAAGTTGTATCTTTTGGGGCAGATGACAAAGTGGAGGACCCACAATCTTCCAGGAGAGTTTGAGGTTTTAAACGATCCGAGACTGACAACGACAAAGGAGATGGGGACAATGTTGAGAACACACTTGACTGATCAACTTCTAATTGTGTGGTCTGAACAGTGTCCGAGCTTGAACTTGTGTTGGCGAATGTGCTCCTCTTAAGGACAGGTGAATGAGAAGAGCGAGCAGGAGACAAGCAATACCCGTTGTCTCGGGGGCTGCCAAGAGCTGGGTGGAGAGCCGTGGGAGAGAGTACGCCTGTCATATTTCCGTTGCTGGTGGGGGACTTGGAGGGGAGGGGGCAAAGGAATTGGTGGACGAGGCCCTGTAAGTTATCTGTAACGTGGAACAGATGGGGGACGGGATGTGTTGGACTTGGGCTGTTAGACCAGGACCCTAAATAGGATAAAATCCCAAAATTAGATGGGGTTCCAATGTAACGAGCACGCGATGTCTCTCGTTGTCTTTGTTTTTTATCGTGTGCTTTCCCACACAATACTTGACTAATTCACCCGACTTTTGTTCAAGCAGACTTGTTCACTGATAAGTGAGTTTTGACGAGCTCTGGCGGCGATAAGCAATGAGCTTCCCCGATGGGAATTCCGACACAGGTGAGCGGGCCGCGGAGACAAGCGGAGAAAAGCTTCGGAGTTGATAAGTGTGAATGCCAATGCAATGCCGTACTTGTATCCGTATCAGGTACAGTACCGACCACGTTCCGACGATCGAATCTCACTTCCAGTTGCGCTGCACACAAGGAGTGAACCCTCCAGGGGCTGTCTGACAAGCAAGATACAGATGACGTCGCAGTGCAAGTCTCTTGTTACCTCGCTTCCCTGTGATCCCCCGAATGGAATACAAGGATGTGCTTGCAGAGCGGTTGATGTACTGAATCAATCAGTCACCGTTTTCCCTGAATATCGAGGATATTAATAGACTCTCGTCCAACAATCTCGCCTCGATGCAGTGCGGCAAGCTGTAGAATATCCAATTAGGAAAACGGTAGCAGCCCACTCTTGGGAATCGAAAAGTCGAGAAATCGAAAAGTGATATCCGAAACTCCCGTGACGAGCTATCTTTCTGACCGTTGTCAAATCTCGTCAAGAACCCCAGTCTGTTGCGGGGATGAGACACCCACTCACGGAGATGCGCCAGGGATGTCGATAGCTTCTCAAGACGCAAGAGCCGAGCCGAGCGGGAGGGACACGCCGCTATTGGTGGTGCTTGTGATAAGAATCTTTAGTCGCAGCAACACACGATGCACGTGGGTGATGTGAGCAGCTGGGATCAAGCACCAAGAGACTGGTTAGACTAGATCCTGAGGCTGTTGGTCGTTGGTGTTGGTTGATCTTGTTGGTTCTGCAGTGTTCGGCTGCCGACTTTATATGTTGCTCAAATTCAACGTCACGGCGGCAGTTGAATCAAGATTCAAGCTGGGAAAAGAACCTTCTTTCAACCCACAAAGTGCAACCGGAATTTCGGGAAGAAACAGCGAAGAGCCACACAAAGAAAAGAAGCAAGACAAGGATTCGGGGGATCTCTTTTGGCTGCAGTGCAGATGTAACACAACACTACGCGGCCGCCAGTCCAAAGCTGCAAGCCACAAATATGTGATGTAAGTTTTCAACGACCAGCGAAGAAGATAGGTTGTCGAACAGATTCAGCCCTCAAAAAGGAGTATGAGAACCAACAGATTAAGTTACTTGGCGCCAATGGGAGGTTGTGACAAAGAAGACAGAGACGCAGCAAGCGACCAAGACAAGAATATTGGTGACCAACAGCTGTCGTCAAGCGAAGGAATGGAAAAAGAGGCCGTAAGCGAGAGGCGAAGATGAAAATAAAGTGGGCGATTTTGCACGAGACTCACAGAGTCTTGTCGGGCGAACGCGTGATTACAATCAATGTAAAAAAAGAACAAAATATAAGTGCTCGAAAGAGAGTGTTGAGACCGGCTACCGAACCCAAGAATTTGCTGTGTGCTCTAGCTGGGCTTTAATACTCTGCCTTCTTTTTCCTTGCTTGTGTTTTCGAATATCGCGAGTTACAAAACCTCCCTCTATCCCCTGTGTTTTAGCTCCGGGGTCCCAGCTTTGGGAAAGGAAAGGCTCCCGTCGTGGATAGTCCAGCCCCTTCGACTGGAGGATCGACCCTGGTAACCCCTTTCTGAGCCTAGAACTCCTCGTCACAAAATATTTTCCTCGTCTAGCGCCTGTTGAGACGTCGATTAGAAACCATGTTGCAGTCTCTATACAGGGACCCAACTATGTGGTTATAGGCTAGGCGAATTAGCAAGTACTTTGCTAGTGTCAACAAGGCAGGAGAAACAAGAAATAGTATCCCTTAATTAGTGTTAATAAGTTATCAAAATCATATCATATAGTTGTTAATGTTCTATGGATCCTCAACCAATGGGTCTATTGCCGCGGCTCAACTCAACCACTTATACGTTTCTGTTATAACCGTGCGTAGAAAACGGACCTAACAGTTGTCAAGTGGGCATTGGCTTTTCAACGGTTCAACCGTTCAGGGTCGTTGCAGATATCCCCAGTCTGTTGATTCATGGTCTCAGTAGCGCCCAATGCTTCCTCTGTGGCTGTAGTGGCTTAATCGTTCTTGATCCAACGACGATGCAGATCATGTATTTCACAAGAGTTTGGCATAAACTCTGCAATCTTCATCATCTCGATGCCCACTTTCTGGTCCTTGAAACTTTCTTCTGTAGATCGTCGACCTCGGGCCCTGGGCTTACTCGTTGTAACCTTAGTTGTGATAAACCTTTAGCGATTGTGACACCAAGTATCAGTATTCATGGCGCCAAGCAAGGTAACAGGTTGTTTACCAAACATGTCGGTGAAATCTTGATGGCAATAACCAATGTAACATCGTGGGGCAAAGGCGTGGCAATTCGTCTCAGCTTCTCAACTTCAACTGAGCTTTGGGCGAGCACTCAGAGATCTAGGCATGCAATCGAAAACATTGCTAAACACCATGTTAGGTAACTGCAAGGAAATGTCACACATGACTGGACAGTTGTCATCTCAATGCAAACCCCAGTGTTTGTCAACCCCCTGTTAGAGAACGTAAAAGCGCATCACATCTTACAGTATCAAGTTACGATAACCAACCAGCTGCCGTAAAATACGATCGCGAAAATGTGTGAACTCAAAAATGTTGTAAAATTCAATGGTATCTTTGATCCTTTGTAAACAAATTCGACCCCCAAATCGGCCTGAGACCGCCCATACAATTTCTGATGCCGTGGTGAAACACCAGAACCAGGAACTTGTCCACTGAGGAGCCGCTATATCCAGAGCTTACCCGATAGCAGCCCGGATCACAAAGTCCCGAGACTCTGCCAACTATGCTTGGCGGTTTTAATAACCGTTTTGATCGTTGAGGGTTTGACCCTCTTTCTCAGGATTGAGGTTGGCCTCAAAATGCGGTAAGCCTTCGCCACGTGCTGACGCTGAGATTGATCAGGTTGGTAAGCCAGCCGTGGCTGGGCGCCTAGACGAGAGTTTGATTATCATCTTGGCGGGAGATGCATGTTGGAAATACCGAGCGCGGGATATCATGCACTTGGTTTGGTGTATCATTTCCAGTAGAGATCCTCCGCCACCTTCGCTTCCATGACAGAGCGGATGAACTGTCTCATGCTTTTTGACTCCATGCCATCGCCGGACATGGTTGTATCGAAACCAGCCTGTTGGTGCTCGCAGCATATACGTTGTCCAAGCTGAAGAACATTGGTCCATTCCGCGGGAGTGAAGGTGCCCTCGCTCTCCGATAAGAGCAACTCATCATGAGAAGTGAAACCGAGAACGTGTACCGACTTAGCATGATCAATATCCACAGCGCTTGGGTCGACGATGATATCCTTGCCCTCCTCTTCTGGGATAGCGAGAAGAGTCGCTGCGCCAATACTCTTCAGAGGGATGGCAGCGCTGAGAAGTCCTAGGATGGCAGAGTGAAGAAGTGCAGGAATGATTGGGAGATTCTGCAACGAGCATTAGCTTATCGACACCACTAAAGTTTGACATTGAAGCTTACCAACTGTGCTTGAACCAGTTTTGCGTTGACATAGGCATTCTCAGGTGTCTCCGCAACCTGAAGAGTGATCTGAATCACACACCGAGGATAGTCTCTCACAGGGATAAGTTGCCTAATCGCTGCCTGCATGATTGACTCAAGCTGTCTCTCGCGGGTACCTGTTGCAACATGCATAAGAAAATGTTATTCTGTGACAAGGGATGTCGGGGATCTCACCTCCAACGCCAGCGGCAGGACGAACAATGACGTCCACCAGAGCCTCGAAGGCATTCTCATCTCGTCTCTGGGCTTCTACAGGACCATTGACAGCGGCTATCACGGCATATCCCCTGTATGAAAACGTCGCAGAGCCATCAGCCTTGGCGAGATGTGACAGCTCTGCTGCAGGTTCAGCTAAAGGAGCCATTGTTGGTGTTGGGATGATTTAGTCGTGTAAGGCTGGAAAATTTCTTGGGTTTTTGGAGTTTAGCTCAGCGTAGCGCACGGGACGAGGGCAATGAAGCGGTGGGAGTATACAAGGTTGGATTCTCAAAGTGTGGTTCAAGCGAGGTAACTCAGAGGAAGGAAAATGAATTCACAGGATTTAGCAAAAGAGTGAGTTCCCCAGAGTTTCTATGAGTTTGTTGGCTCAATATCGAAGTTATGGATTTCTTGATAGTGGGGCAGTCTAGAAGCTACCCGCAGAGGTGGCTGCCAATCATGGGTCCACAACTCATGACATGCAGC